GGACCACAGAGGTTAAGTTGGGGTGAACAGTCTTGAATGAAGGCTGGCGATGAAATGGAGATTCACAAGGAACGTGGATCAAAGTAGAGCAACTTTTTTCATTCCCCTTAATCACATCTAGAGGCCACTGGCTGTTGACGGGTGTGCCATATAAAGTAATATAAGTTTAACCTATAGTATAGATCCACCCAATACTTTGTATTGTACCATTTGTACCTCGGGTTAGTTCGCGTAAAGCTAGAACGTAAATAAACTTCGATATATGGCCTGATTAGGTGTAAAAAAAAAAAAAAAAAAAAAAATAATTGATTATATAATGGTTTTGCTATGATTTATTATTTTCAATTTCTTTTTTTATTAATTTTATTTTCTTATTATTAATTATTATATAATTATTGAATTAATTGTATAAAAAAAACATATATCATTAATAAAGCAGTATTTTTTTAACTACAATTAATTTTACTTCACAAAATAAAACATTTATTATTATTATATTAATTTTAACTTTCATTAGTAACAGACTTACTGATAACTATTACAGTCTTATTTTGATTTTTAAAAAAAATTTAATAACTAATTCAGTAGATCTTTTAAACTAATTAAGTTTGTTATAAAGTTTTAGAATTTTTTTCTGTTTATCTAAAAATTTAGTATTTCTTATATTTATAAAGAGAAAAAAAAATGTATTGATATTTGTTTCAAAGTATTTATTAGTTTCATTAGCTCAAAAGGCTGGAAAAGACTTTAATATTTCAACTAATTAACTTGAAGAAAGATGTTTATCAATTTTTATTTCTGTACTAGGATTATAAATTATATGTAAGATTGCTTGTAAGCTAATTTGATTATTACTGTATTGCATTGATCTGTTGAATAAAATTGCTTAAAAATTGGTTTAATCTTGTTTTGTTTAAAAATAGCTACATAGTATATTTTAATTAAACAATTGTCCTGCATCTTATTATTGTTACTTGTTATTTTAGTTTGAAACTAAAGTAATATTATTATAGGCAGGAGAATATATATAAGATATGTTATTTTTATAATTAAGTTACATATTGTGATAAAATAGATAACTTAGTTTTATATAAAAAAAAAAAACTCTTTCCCATCCACTCCAAATTTCTTTTTTAGGAAATATTCTTCAAGAAAAACAAAGTCACTTTTAACTAATTAAAAAACCTACAAGTTTTACAGTTTTCACCTTCCAAAGTCTAAAGCAATCACAGACAAACAAAGGTATATCAAACATATATATTAACACTTCTTTATTTTCACTCAAATAGGGAAGACAAGTACTTGCTTGTATCCAGGAGGATACTAAGCAGGAAAAACTGATTCACAGTTAGGCCTCAGGGAGCCAAGCCCACTACCACCCCTACAGCCAGGCCAGTACCAGGTTAAATACCTTTCTTGACACTGCAGGAACCTCCAGGTGGCCAGATTTCATCCGATAAATCAGACAACCTCGTCACCATCCTAAAGGCTAGAAGGGTCTCAAAGCTCCCCATCATCTAAACAGAGTGAAAATTTTCTTAACGTACATACAATTGACAAATAAACCAAAACCAGCTCACCCCCTCCAAAATCTCAGTTACGCGAACACGTCCTTTACTTCATCAACAACAGTGTCAAAATAGTACGCGACAGACTCGATATCCATTGCTAAAAATAGCATTTCTCTAAAAATAGCACGTGTCAGCAAACCTAATTAACACGTGTCAACAAATCTAAATAACACATGTCAGCAAGCCCAAATAACGTGTCAACAAGTCTAATTAGCACGTGTCAGCGAGCTTAAAACAGCTTGTGTCAACAAGTTCTAAAAATAGCACGCGCTAACCAAAACAACTCCATCCAAAGATACAAATTTAAACAACAAACACATAAACAAAACACGTGTTCTAAATCACAATGTCAAGTCAAAGCACACCTTCAAACCATATTGTCCAACAAACAATACCTCTGAAATCTCAACATGACACAAACTTATTACTTGATATAATTTTAATAGACAGAACAAGACGATACATGTCTATTATTTATCAAAACATGGAAAAAGAGATCGTCCTTACAGAACCTTCCAGAACACACACAATTCCCATGCTCGGAAACCATCCCAACAGGTGGCTCATTCCCACAACCAACATTTCAAGACCAGACTCTCCAAACCTATCGGTGTTCCAGATAGAATTCTCAAGCACTAATAACAATGAAAACTTAATTACACAAGTCTCAGTTCTCAAAAAAAAACCATTATATCTCTTGAATGAATTTCAAGATTTTTACAATTCGCTCCAAAAATTTTTTGCAAATAATGAACAAATCAGAAATGAGGTCTTTCAAAAGGTAACAGCGAGGGAGTGGAATTATTCCAAACACATTCCCTGGAACATGATACAAGTCACCAAGGCCGGCACCAAAAAACAAAAATCTTTCTCACTCACAAAAGCATACCAGCTTGTTAGCGCAAGTCAAGCACCCCCTCTTATGCCAGCCAATGCAAAGTCATTCTTGTCCACAAGCTCTCTCACTGAAGCTCAAGATCAGTCGGCTAGCTCTTCTACCGCCAATCAGAACCTATCATTTTTAACAACTCCCAGCCAATTAAACATTGGCCAATCAAAAGATTTACAATTAAATCACCCAATTCAACAGATCCAACCATCCAATCACAAGGTCCCCCCTTACCAGAACTCCATAAAAGCGATCTTTCAATTTCCATCGATCTAAACTTCCCTATTCCAGAAAACATAGAAATGGGAAACACTACAAGTTCTTATTTCCATCAAGAAAAAGGAGACATCTCCAACACCCAAGTACCAATTAGCTCTATTCCCTCATCTACTATCGATAACCTTCAACAATACAACAACCCTATTATTCCAATGTTATGCTCCCCCTCACCTATTCATGCAAAGTCACAAAAATCTCTCCAACAGCCTGAACGTAAAAATCCAACAAAATTTAGAAAAAGAAACCTGGCTTTTAGCAACAGCCTCCAGGAGAAAATAGAGGCTGCTACCAATAGACTTTGGTTATATGAGGATGACCTATTATTAAAATCCTCAGGAATAGAAGATTATGACATAACTATCAATTCAGATGACGAAGATAATGAACTCAACTTACCAGAAGAACTTATTAGCGAACATTATCTTATTATCCAATGGGCATCCAAGTTCACCACCATCAGAAATAATCCTGATGAACTTATTAATCTCTTGCTAAACATCAATCAACGCCCAAGAGATGAAGTTAGACAAAAGCCAAAACTAGCAATCTTCATCAAAATAGAAGCAAGAGATAGAGGCTTTTTAAGATTTAACAAGGAAACAGAACTAAAAGAAGACCACCAAAAAGAATACGAAAAACTCGAAGGACGGTTTCGAAGAATTTATAAAGGGAAACATAAAGTTGGAGAACTTAATAAAGAAGTCAGTTCCAAGATTAAGTTTCTCTTAAACAATAGCTTGTTCATTGCCTACCTGAGATACATCAACATATTTGACCTCAACCCCCATCTACTTGCCCAAATCATAGAATACGGGTGTAACTACTTATGCCGCCCCAAAGAAGGCACCAAGCTAGATTATTACGAAATTCTCCGAAGATGCAAAAAAATATTTCGTGACAATCTACCAGAGCTCCCTCCATCTCCAGAATTAGTCCCTCCTCAAATAAAGACCAAAATTCCCCATAGAATTCCCATTCTTGACAGAAGCATGACTGCAAGTGTGGCAGGCTCTCTTCATTCAATATACAAATTTAATCTTCTACCAGACTCATACTTTGCCACTCTCCCTAATCTCCCTGATGATCCGCAAAATCTCTCTAAAGAAGTGTCGCACTTATTTCCAGTTAAAAGAAGAAAGGATCTCAAGAATTTGGGTGACATGTAAAGATGGGTCCCTAAATTATTTGTGAGGACATAATTCAAATGTCCCTTACTATTAAAAATTTCCATTTCTATATTAAGAAATAAAAAAAAACTACCTACAAAGGTTCTTTATAGTTTTAAGCATCTATATAAATCATTTTTGGAATTATGTCCCTATTAAAGTAAAGAGCTAAGAATTATGTCCCCTAGGGGACGTGGACGTAAAGGGACGTAAATTTTATATGCTAAATACTTTAGGAACCCATCTTTAGTGACATGATTAGGGAACTTAAGAAATTCTACCTTGTCCCCACCAAGATCCCCTCTTCATACTTCGATCTTCCCCCTCCCAAAATTCCCCTTTCCTCATCACCCAATCTTCTCGAACCAGAATTTGCTGAGTTCTTTCCACTCAATACATCCAAACATAGCATTAGAGAGGTGGTTAAGGAACTCTGTTCCAAATATTACTTTGAACGCCTTCTCTCCAACTTCTTTAAGCTCAAAGAACTCCTTCCTACATTTCCGTTCACAATTAACAGATACATCTCTAAATTGGGAATTCAAATCCCTACTACAAATTCCCACGATACTCAATTCTTATCAAAAACCTGAAAACAGAATATCGATTCTCACTTCCACTAGGGGTCCACTGGGTAAATGAAGAGATCTCTCAAACTAACAAGCCAAAGTTGCCACAGAAGCTCAGTGACATCGACCCAGACCTAGATATCAAGTTTCTCTCTCGTAATGACACCTTCCTCAGGGAAAAAATCAAGACTTTACATAAGCATTACGAATTCCAAAGAATTCCAGAAAGTTGGTTCACCAATCCACGAATCCCTTTGCCAGCTAATCCGCTGGAAATAAACAGAATCCTAAAAAAAAAAAGCTTAATGCCTATCAAATTTCCCTTGGTGGATAACAATACTCTCTCCACACTCATCTATCAATTACATCAAACCTTTTCCTTTATCAGACTTCCTGAATCCCTTATCATAAAAGAGACGCTCCCTGAACCGGAGTTTGATCTCATGCCCTTCTTATATTAATCTCTATGTTTAACAACCAAACTACAACAAATAATTCAAATCTTAACTTGTCAAATACTACCTCCATTCCTACCAATCACACTTCCCCAAACATGACGACCAACACCACTGCACCCACCAAATTCAACTCCACACCTCCTCATCACACCCATGTTGTAACTACAGCTTCAAGCAATACCAACATTGAATTAACTCCTAACATCACTCAAGATCTAATTACCTTCACTACCATTAATACCAAAGGCCTAAATAATCCCACCAAACTTAAAGCACTAGCAAATCATATCCCAGACTGTGCTATTCTTTTCTGTACCGAGACCAAACTTAAACAAGGAGACAACCACCTTAAGAATATTAATGGGAGGTCCATAATCTATGGAAACTCTAGCTCATCTGCAAAAAATGGTACAGCCCTTATTATAGGAAGAAGTCTTACCCCTCACATATACAAAATTATCAGCCATTCAGAATATTGTTCATCAGTTATACTCAAATTCAAAGGGAATGTTAACATCCTCGTTTCAGCAGTCTATCTACCCCACACCATGACAGAAAGAAAAGTCGCAGTCAAGCAAGTAGTCCAAATGGTCAAAACAGCTGCAAATGACAAATATCACCATGCGATTCTAGGGGACTTCAATACATACCCCAAGGACAGTCCATCAATTAATGCTCCGACCTTTTCAGTTAAACGAATACTTTACAGACACCTATTTAACTATATTGATATAGGTTACCAACTAGATGAGAATGCTTTTACCTTCATCACTCCCACCAGTGCTTCCAGAATCGATCAAATTTGGCTATCAAGAAGTCTAGCCTCTAAAGTAGTCTGGTATAAAGTCCAGGAATGCGACACTATTCCAACAGATCACCATATGGTATCAATCAAGCTAGACTACTTCGAATTCAGAAAAGCCAAGCCCATTTATAAGTTTGATTTAGATAAAACTCCCAGCACTAACGTCACAAACTTTATCCAAGATGTGGAATCCTGGACTAGTCTCTTAAATTCCCCAAATTGGAATGAACTTCATGATCTAATCAGAGACTCCATAAACAAATTTATCAAGAAGACCAAAGTAAACATGATCCCAAAAGACTCCCGTACCAATGCAGAGAAAAAACTCAGAAACCAGACAAGGAAGATTAACAATACAATCTCAAAACTCAAAAATAATCATACCGCAGCTCAACTCCAAAGTCAAGAATTACAAGTCCTGTACAAAACTGCCAATGGAAACTCAAATATTTCAATTCAAAAATTAAGGAAGCTCAAAAAACTTTTAATTCATGAGGCAATGGCCCAAGCCCAGCAAGAATCCCTAGAAGAGTTTCGGCTAAACCATAAAAGAACAGTTGAAAATTTCTACAATAAGCCCAAGAGCTTTATTAAAAAAGCTCTAGGTTCTCTAAAACCAAGAATTGATCTCTCCAAAATTCTCAATGAAAACAATCAAGTGGAAGAAGATCCTAACGTGATTCAAGACATAATCAACAAATACTTCAAAAATATTTTGCGTGAAAGAAATTTCAATCTTGAAAACTTCCCAAATTGGCAAGATGAATATTCACCAAAACCAATCGATCAAAACATTTATAATCAAGTACTTTCTCCTTTTAATAACAGCATTATTGATGAAGCCATTCACACCCTTCCTAAAAAGAAATCTTCAGGAAAATCTGAAATCAGTTATGATATTATCAAACTGTTAAAGGGAAAAATCACAACCCACCTTACTTCAATCTTCAATCAGATTTTAACCTCTTTATCGATCCCACATCTTTGGAAACAAACCTCTATCACTCTCATATCCAAAAAACTTCTTTGGAGCCACAAGCTCAATGACACTAGACCAATATCTCTAGTTGATTCCACGAGGAAGATTTTCACCAGGATAATCAACAAAAGACTTTCCAACACCCTGAAGTCTAATTCAATCCTGTCAGAATTCAGCTTCGCAGGACTCCCAGGACAAAATACTCTTGAACCTCTTACTATAGTTAACTCAGCAATTCAAGCTGCAAACATTAGCAACAAAGAATTCTGGTTCACCTCACTCGATATCACCAAAGCATTCGACTCTGTCCCCATACCAGCTATCAAAAAATCTCTTGAGAGAATCAAGTGTCCTCCTCAACTAATAAAACTTTTCACTAACTTGCTCACAAACAGAGAAATATCTATCAACTCACCCTTTGGTCCAACTAACCCCTTCACAGTTAACAATGGTATAGAACAAGGAGAAACCATCTCTCCAATCACCTGGGTCATTTTTTATGATCCCCTTATCTCCAAACTTTCCAGATGCAAAAAAATTCAGGGATACCTAGCCCCAAATGCTCTCGCCTACATGGATGACTTGGCACTTATTGCTGACTCCAAAACAAAAATGGAAACTCTTCTCGAGACAGCCAATCAATTCTTTCAAATCAATAATATCACATGCAACAAAGACAAAACCAAAATCATCAACAATATTAAAGTTAAGCGCGGAAGTCCAAGAACAATCAATTTCGAAAATCTTCCTATTCAAGTCCTTAAATCCTATAAGAGTATCAAATACTTAGGAACTCTTATCTCCCCACGAAGTCTTCTCAAAGTCAACAGAAAAGCTTTCAGCCAAGTAGCCTCACAAATTCTTGATGAACTTAACAAGCGTCAATGGAAAGGAGAAATCAAACAACGCATCTGTGAGTGGGTATTAATGGGAAAATTCGAATACTTCCTATCAATTACTCACCTAAACAAGAGTCTTCTTAATACTATCCAAAGAAAAATCAATCAAGTTATCAAGTCAGGTTACAAAATCTCTTCCAAGTGTTCCAACTCAATCATAATGAGCCAAGGAGGGCTTAGCTTACCATTACTTGAAGAATGACAAAGGTCAAGCCTTATTAACAATCTCATAACTAAGCTAGCCACTCCCATGACGAGAAAATATATAATTCAAACCATTCAGTGCATTCAAAAAAAAGAAGCTATCTGGTTCTGTCCAATATGTGATCCAGAAAAGTTCAATCAAGATAATTGGATACTTTACACAGCCAAAGCCGCAAAAGATTTCAAGATACAAATCTGTCCTCCGGATTGCCCTCTCAAGCTAGAAAATGCTTGCAACAGTATAGGTCTTTTCTTCAAAAACCTACCACTACAACTTAGAGAAACAGCAGTCAACACATCCAACGCTCTCAACATTAAATTCTCCAATCAACTCCTCCGGTTCAATAGCTCAATCAAGCTATCCTGGTTACAACTTATTTCCTACACAGGCATCACACGCTGTGGCCCCGAACCAATATGGTTCAAAAATTTTAACAACAATAATAATCTCATTGGATCCCACAGACCAATACCAAACCCAAACCCGATATTTTGGTACCTACATATTGAGAATGTGATCATTAAGACTCACAAGAGATACCGTCTCATTCAAGAGGACACACTCCTCAAGGGAAGGCATTATACAATTGATCCTGATAACAATCTAATCAAGTGTTGTGGTTGTCCTATGGGTCTCCCCCTTAATAACTACTGCTCAATAACTTTCTCAAGTTCCAATGCCTCCTCACTTTGGGCAATCAATAAAGTTTCACTCTTCGCCAAATATCGTCTTTGCAACATTATTGAGGACTTGGCAAATTCACCAACAGAAAACGAAACCCTTCTCCAATCAGTCGTCATCCTGCCTTCCATATCACCTCCCTCCCCCCTACAAGCATTAGGCCAATGCAACCTATATTATATCCAATTTTTCAAGCAAGATATAATCGTCAACGAAACAAAAGTCACCATATCCAACCCAGGACTTCCAGATGGCAATATCCTGCGAGTTATCTATGACATTATTCAATGGTGCCCTTCTCACTCCACCATTGAAGTCAGAAACAATAAAAGAATCATCCGGTCACTACCTATCTTTCCCAGGAAATATGTTAAAGTCAACTTTGCTATCCTAACTTCAAAAATCAAGCAAATTTCAACACAGAAAAATATATCCATCGATTTCACCAAACCTAAGTCCAAACCAAGTTATACCAACTCTATTATTTGGAATAACCCAAGCCTTCACTTCGCAGAAAACCCCACCATCAACAAAGTAGATCTAGGCAGCAGTTCAAGATAGTGCAAAAAAATCTTTAGCATCACCAGATCCTATATCATCTGCGAAAGTTCATCCATAATCAAAACATTTGGTCAATCTCATGATGCTTTTGAACTGCAAATAATCAACTCTTTTAACAAATTCTTAAAAGGGCTTCACAACAATACTTATAGCGATCTCATTGCATTCAGAATCAAATTGCTCTCAGTAAAGATGGATCCCTAAAGTATTTAGCATATAAAATTTACGTCCCTTTACATCCACGTCCCCTAGAGGACATAATTCCTAGCTCTTTACTTCAATAGGGACATAATTCCAGAAATGATTTGTATAGATACTTAAAACTATAAAGAACCTTTGTAGGTAGTTTTTTTTTATTCCTTAATATAGAAATGAAAATTTTTAATAGTAAGGGACATTTGAATTATGTCCTCACAAATAATTTAGGGACCTATCTTTAGCTCTCAGGCATACTTCCAACACGAGAATTTCTTCACCAGTTATATCCTGACCTCTACAAGGATCCATACTGTCCAAGATGCAGTCTCCGGACTGAGAACATCTTCCACGTCTTTAGCTGTACCCTAGCAAAAAAAGAAATCAAACAAATAATAGACTCTATCAATCTTATTCTTCATCCAGATAATAGCAACAATCCAGTATCAAATGCACGCCAGGTAGTAGGGCTTGCATGTGGAATTACAACCGGCATTTTCTCTACATCGGATATACACAAGTGGATCCAAGCATCTACTGAAGCTCTTATGTCTTCCTACAATTACATTTGGAAGCCCCGATGTAGTACAGCGAATACTGCACCCAATACTGGTATCAAATGGGACAAAAATCTCAAAAAAAGAAAAAGCAATAATAACAGCAATGCCACCAATAACAATAATATAACCGCCAATTCTGCCAATTCTCCTTCCAATAACATTACCAACAATAGCTCATCCTCCAGCGACAATACCTCAATCTCAGCCCCCGACAGTATCATAATCGACATCCCAACTCTTGTTGCGGAAACATTCATCCAAAGCAAACTC